TGAACTTGGATGGGAGTGTGGAGAATCCACCCACATAACAGGAGGGAAGGCAGAGTAGAAGGGCCCGGAAAGGGCGGGTGGGACAAGAGGAGATAGGATATGTATGAGGTCTCTTCTTATGGCCTCTGTTTTCTCTGTGATGTAGGAACAAGTTCATCAGCTAAGAATGAACATGACAGAGTGGAGTTGGAGGTTCAAGGAAAAGGCAGAAGGTGTGAAATAATGTCTAAGAGAGTGAAAGGCAGTTGGCTGTCCATCATTTAGAGCGGCCCCAGTGAGTATGGTGATGGGGTTAACTACAGCCTCATCTGATGTCATGGGTGTGAGTGGGCAGTCAGATTGAACCAGGACTGGGCTTTTAGCAGGTGAACATGACAAGATCAGAACAGAGGAAGGGAGTTGAGGCTGTATTTACATACAGGAGGGACCACGATGCGGGCGCATAGACTTCAACATGATGCAACACAAGGGCATCAGGAGGCCAAGGGTCAATGGAAAAATGGAAATGCCAGTGATCCCTCTGGGGTAAAAAGAATGTTGGAGTTGAAGTTCTAGAGGGGGGTGGGCAGTAAAGGTGGTGGTGGGGTCAGCGGCTGGGCTGCTGGGAACTGAGATGTGCAGGGCTACAGACGTCGATGATGGAAAGGTCCAGAGGTCAGGATCATGAGTGTGAGTGGCTGAGGAATGGAGAAGACAAGACCATTAGAGGAGAGGAGTTCAAGGTGGGGAAGCTGCAGGAAACCTGTGCTTTCAGTAGAAGGTAAATGTGGCTTCAAAGTCCTTCCATCTGGGTACACACAGCCTCTTACCACGTGACTTTACTGCTTCTCTTAAAAAGGTAGGTATTTTTTTTCTACTTTTTGATTGTGACTTTGCTCGGGGACTTGCTTTGACTGACAGAATGCAGCAGCGGCGTCACTATGTGACTTCGGAGGCTATGCCTTAAGATGCTTCCCAGTTCCTGTTTCTGCTTGAGACAGCCATGCAGTGAAGCTGGTCCGGCCGCCTGGAAGCATGGAAGCATGGAGACACCCAGGGCCCACTGCCGTACCCGGAAGCGAAGGCACTGTGGGCCACCCACCTGATCCACAGAATCACAAAATGTCATTATAATTTAAAGTCCCTGAGGATGGAGGTTGTTTGTGAGACAGCAAAGGCAGACAGAGACAGAGATTATTCATCTTGATGATAAATAATTCTCAATTCGTCATCAAGAATTATTATAAGAGAATGGTAGAGAGTAATACCAAACCAGAGCTGACTTCTAGGTTAGTGAGACAGTGTTTCTGTTCTTTTTAATTTTTGGAGCTATTTTGAGTAAATTGCTTTATTATTTATTGTAAAAATTGTCCAATGTCTATAATTAGGTGTGGAAAAGGGATCTCTACTCCCCCCCCCCAAAAGAAAGAAAGCCTGAACCCCTCAGAGAGCCTCTGTCCTTCATGGATGTCTTCCTACTGCAGAGGGTGGGAGGCTTCAGGGAGGAGGTGGCCGCTTGGGTAATTCAGGTGGGAGGGGAGGAATCTGACGTGGATGTGCCCAATATCCTCTTGCATTTTGGGACATGACGCAGCACAACAGGGCAGCTGAGCCGAACCGAGAAAGGAACCAAGGACCATTGGTTGCATTTCCTTTGGTTGTTAGGTTGGGGTTTGTAGAATTCTGCAGTGGGGGAAGAGGGAGGACGGGATGGTGAGAAAAGCCTGGGAGGGGCCAGGCAGGCAAGGGGAAGCAGAGAGTAAGGAGGAAAAATGGCCACCTGGCTAGATGGAATACAGGGCGGGAGTGTAGTGGACAGAGAGGCAGGGGAAGGAAATGAAGCAAGGTGGAAGGAGTGGGGCAGGAGGGTAAGCGGGGAGAAAGTGAGGTGGTGTGGAGCGGGCGGGGCTAAGCTGGCAACTAAGGGTCACTTGTATCACCCAAAGCCCCTCTGGTCTATCTGGGGGATACTCGCCAGCTGGGCTTCTGTGTTCAGCAAGTGGCCTGGGGTCAGAAGCAGCGTCTTCTGCCATGAGCAGCCCAGCAGTGTGTCCCAGGATGAGGCAGCAGAGAGGTCTCCGTGGTCATGGTGCCTCTGTCCCCTCTCTTGGAAATTAACTTCCTAGTGTTGAAGTTGAAACTGAAAGGTGACCGTGACAACCGGGGTGCCTGCTGTCAAGGAGCCCAGCCCTGCCCTGTCCTGGGTACACAAAACCTAAGGTTTCTGGGATGTTGCGTTTGAGATAGGAAAGGAGAAGCTGAGACAGGGCTGAGTCAGGATCGGATGCCGTGGATGAGACACAAAAAGGAAGTTGGTGAAATGGGAGAGGAGGGGCCCTTGGGCCAGGCCAAGGGTTAACCCTGGACTGGGTGTCGGATTAAGGAATCAGAGTCCTAGACAGAGTCCTGGGTAGGATCTTGTGTGCGCCTTACTGATACTTCGCTCTGTTCCCACCACTCAGGGAGCAGCTACAGCTCCTTCCTAAAGCTGGTCCTGTGTGCCGGTAAAGAAGTCTCCTGGGTTCATGAGACAAAAGTCAGTTGGAAAACAATGTGTATCATATGTTCCACCTGTGTTAAAAAAGAAAATTAAACACCTGTGTGTGTGTGTGCATGCCTCCCACCTTTGAAAGGCCCTAGGGACCCGGGGTGTGGGTATTGGGGAAGGGGAGACAGCCTACAGAGCAGCCTCCTATTCAGGCCTTAGGCTGTAAGCTAAAGAAGTGTTCCCAGCTTACTTCTGGCACAGCCCAGTTTTCCTGGAGAGAGATCCCCCCAGGGCTTCAGGCCAAAGGCCTGGTGAAAAATCCAGGTCCATGGTTCCCAAACCAGAGCGCACGTTGAAATCATGGGGAGGGCATGTTAGAACCAGAATTTCTGACTCAGTAGGTCTGGAATAGGACCCCAGAATCTGCTTCACCAGCAAGTTCCTGGGGATGTTGATGCTGCTGCTTTAGGGTCCTAACTTTGAGAACCCTTGTTCTAGAGGTTCTCAAAGCCCCTCCCACCCCAGGGGCTCCCTTCAAGGCCCAGGGTCCTTCCCAGGCCATGACATTGCTCCTTACTGTAGTGACTTGCTTAATTGTCTGTGATTCTTGCTAAGCTGTGAGCACCTGAAGAATGGGGCCCATCTCTCTTGGTCACCGCTGTGTCCCTAGCACCTCACAGTGCGTGGCGCGTCATGGCTACTCTGTACGTATTTGTCCAATGAACAAGTATATTTGCCTGGCATGTCTTCTCTGTGTCGTGGGGGCTGCAGAAGCCTAGGACCGAGCTGGAAAGCCAGTCAAGGATCAGAGGTACTGACCATGGTGCTTACCTTAGTCACGACCAAGGAAGAGGCGGGCCTCATGCTCCGAACTGACCTGCCAGCTAGGTACTGCCCACCACCGGGCACGTGCCCCCTTCTATTTGCTCATCCCCCTCTCCCATTTGCTGTTGCAAGGGTGGGACTGAGAGCTGATGCGTTGGGCAGGGTCCCCTCATGGAGAAGGCGCGGGGAGCTCGGCTGTGCTCACGCTGAGTGCCACGTGGCCACACACCTCAGCACGCACCTCTACACGCTGCAGCCTGCTTCCCGAAAACATGGGGCTCCCCGCCTGGGGAGCAGGGCAGACGGGAAGCCAGAATACCCCACGGAACAGTCCTCAACCCGGGGTGGGCAGGTAGAGATGTCATGGACACTGCCTGGTTTCCTCACCCCTCCCACCTGACGCTGGGGTGACACTAGGGGCCTCTGAGCTCCGCAGCAGGGCTGAGTTTGGCTTGCCCACAGGGACGGTGGCTCTAGCACCGCCCTTCATCAGTTCCTCGTGTTTCCGACCCCACTTTTCCCTCCCCTGTGGTGTTTCCTGGGGTCCCTGCAGACACACTTCTTGTGTCTTACATCCTGGGAGGGAGACCCCAAATTAAGACAGGCACTTGAAGCTCTCAAGAGCAACACTAAATCATTTCTTTATAGGTATGTGTGTATATATCTTCACGTAATTCTCTCTGCGAAGTTGGCATTATAAACCTTGTACAGTAGAGGAAAGAGACATTTGGAAGCTTAAATAACATGCCCAGTGTGAATGAAAGGTAGACCTAGGGTTCGAATGCCGGATGCCTGATTGCAGAGGCTTGGCCCTGATGTGCACCCTCCACCCCCGCCACCCTCTGCTCTCTGCACAAAGGCCACACGTTCCTGGGCCCAAGGCTTTCGCTGTGAATCTGGTTACCTTTCCACCTCTCTCTTCCACCGTCTCTGTGGACAGGCTGCCCAAGGGGGGAGACCCAACCCAGGAGACTCATGGGATGTTCCAAGGAAGGGGATACTGAGGCACCTAGTTTAAAGTCTTCATTTTTACAGACCAGGAAACTGAGCCTTGAAGGGACAAGTGACAGTTTCAGAGCACGTCCCCGTGTATGACTTCTGAGTGGCGCTTGGCAGCAGGCCTGTGAGAAAGGTTGGCCGAATCCTCATTTTACAGAGAAGCAGGTGGAGTCTGAGGGGCACGGGCAGCCCGCAGGCGCTGGTGGTCGTGGGGAGAAAGGTAGTGAGCATCACTCATCTGACATGTTTCCTCGTGCCAGCTGCCCGTGACATTTTTCGCGTACAAGCTGACCTCTCACATCCTCCTACAAGCCTAAGCGTTCAGCACACTCATTGGATGGGGGGGGAACGAAGACTTAGAAAGGCTCGCCATCTGCCTGTGTCTCGAGTGAAGAACTGGGATTCGAACTCGGCCTGCATTGGCCCGGCTCCACGCACCAGCCCCAGATCCCCTGCAGGCTGGAGGTTCCTCTAAATAAAACCGCTCTGTGGATTTTGGGAAGGAGCCGGGAGGCCGCAGACAGGGGAGAAGCGAGAGGGTTCAGAGCAGTGAGAAGCCGAGGACATAGAGGGCGCCAAAGAGAAGCCGCTGCTGTCCGCTGGCTTTTAACAGCCAGGTCTTTTTGAGGAACACAAGACCCAGGGCACTTGCAATCTTTAGAGGAAAGAAAAAAAGCCTCCACGCCCTGCATCGGCCCCACCCACCTCAATTCCCAGCCTGCAGTTGCTCCACAAGTTCTGAGAACTGCACTGGGGCCTACCTTGCCCCACTCAGCTCCACCCCACCCCACCCTCCCGATCCCTTAAGACAGAGCTCCCCAGGGCGAAGTGCGGTCCAGTGACAGAAAAAGTCCTCAGCTGGTGGGCGTTGTGGCCACGCATGGACACCCAACCACACAAAAGGAAGACTTTTGTCCCCTTCTTGTCATTCTGAACGACTGAGAACCCCAGAGTCCTGGCTCCATCATTACACAGGAAGCTGAGGACTTCCTCCTACTCTGTTGAGACCTTGAACCTTGAACACAAAGACTCTAAACGCTCTAGAAACAAAGACTCTGTGGACAAAGCTCCTTGACGCCAGAGTAAGTGGCCCTTGTCTTTTCTGTCTTGTCGTCTTCCCTGGAGGGAGTCTGGAGTGAGGACGTGTGTGCAGTGTGTCCGAGCAGCCCACGGGGGCATCTGTGAGGCCATGAGCTGTGTAGCAATACGAGAATGGGTGGACTTATAAGACTGGGCACTCAGATGTAAAATAGGTTTTTATTTTTGCTTAAAAAGGGAAGCTGCCTTGAGCGATGGGTTGTTTGTCACTAGGAAAGTCAGCCCAGTCCTGGCCAGTGTGGCTCGTTCAGTTGGCTGGAGCTTCGTCCCATAACAGGAGGGTTGTGAGGGTACATTCCTAGGTTGCGGGTTTCATTCTCCATCATTGGTCTGGGCCCGTACAATCCCTGGTCTGGGCTCATGTGGGAGGCAACCAATTGATTCTCACAATGATGTTTTTCTCTCTCTAAAAGCAATGAATAAAATGGCCTTGTGGGAGGATAAATTTTTTTTTAAAGTAAGTTGTCCCAGTATTAAGGGACAAGAGGCACTTTTTGTAGAAGGCTGTTCAAGAGAAATTTACTTCCCAAATTTTTCCCGTGTAAATAAAAACTGGAGCTGGTATATGAAGTCGGTGTAGCAAGAGGGAGACACGAATGAGAAAAGCCTTTGCAGATCCAGGGATCTTGGATCTGCATTCAATATCAATTGGATATTGAACCCACTTCGTAAGAAGACTAGAACCGAGGATCCTCAATCCCACTGCGGGCTGAGTTTGGAAGAGGTACACTCCCCCCAGCTGAAGGCAGGGGGCCGGCCAGGTGACCTCCTGGGATGCGTCTTCCTGTTCTAACGGAGTCAGCAGAATCATGTTCCGAAGATGGAGGGGCACGGGGGCTGCTTGGAGGTATCTACTTCAACTCTTCCTCCAAAAACCTGGGAAGGCCTCAGTCTTTCAGAGTTAGCAATTTCCAGGAGTTTACGCAGCCTGCCACCGGGCTGTGTGCCACTCACTGACCCTCCAGTCCCCACTGGCAGGACAGCTCTTGGACTACTCAGACTGGGGGGCATTGATGTGCTGCTGAGTCATGATTTTGAGTCTTGCCGATTTCTGTGTGTAAATATTCCCACTATGGTTGATTTCAAGCTACCTCCACGAATATGGAGTTGAGAAAACATGCACACTATTGGTTGTTATGAGCCAGGCTAAGCCAGCTCCTGCACACCAGCAGGCCTGGTGTCTTTACCCTCACAGACTCTCTGCTTAGAGACTCCCAGGCTGGAGGATGTTGGCACTGGAGGGTTCCTGGGTCCAGGGTCAGAGCTGACCCCTGGGCAATGGCCTCGGGGCAGACTTTTGCAGCAGTCTGCAGCAGGGCCGGCAGGTTGGATAGCAACAAGGTCCTCGGATTCTCCTCCTGGGCCCCAGTCCGGCCCCTTTCCCTCTGGGACAGCGGGCCCTGAAGTTACTGCCTGGTGCCCAACAAGTTGGAAAAACAGTGGACGAGGTTGGGGGTCAGGGGTATGGAGGTGACTCTCAGTTCAGAATGACTTCTTACAATGCTGATTCAACGTGACTTTACTTTTGCCAAAATCCCCCCCAAAACTGGGCATATGGGGTAAGTCTTGTGCTAGCTGCTCTTTGTGCTTCCAAACCACTTGTTGCTTGTACCATGAACCCCCCCAGGCCCCAAATTGCTGTCTGCCCGGTCAATCTACCAGCACCAGCAGAGACAGTGGAGATCAGAAATCGTCAACATGGCTGGGTCTCTCCAGAAAGAGGGCTGCTTACTCAACCAAGGGGCAAATCCAGAGATGGAAGCGTGAGCAGAGGAATGGACTCAGCAGGAAATAACAGTGCCCCGGCTCAGGTGCCCAGCACCCACCGTGCACTTAATTTCCAATGGCCAGTGCACAGTGTAAACCTCTGAGCAGAAAACACACATTAAGCAGGGTATAGAGGAGAGAGTACCAGAGACTCCAGACTGAAGCTGGGAAATAAGATATAGGTACCACCTATGTCGTTAATTGGTGTTTAAGTCAAAGCAACTCAGATTTGTGGCAACATACTGAAAATTTCAAAGCGTAGTTCACATGGGGAGGGACTGTCATGTCCATTGCTGTTGAGCAGAATTCACTTTCTAGGTGAGTGAGCTACAGAGAGACCTGGTGGGGGCACTTGGGGGGCAGGATTTATCAGCCACAAGAGGATTGGTGCCTGGGACATTCCTGGTGGCAATGGGCCTCCGGGAAGGGTCACTGCAGGGAAGGAGTGACCTAATATTCCACTAATATTTACTAAGGTCCTGGTAAGTATCATGGGTGGGTTTTCTCATATTTTACCCTATGGTAGCCCTTCAAGGTAACTGTTACTTTCCCGTATTATGGATGAGGAGACCCAGAGGTAAGTGTTCTCAAGTTCACACAGCTGTAGGTTACCTGCGTCTTCAGTAAGTGACCAGAAAGGATGGAAAAGGAGGGCTGAAGAGCAGGGCTTGGGGAGTTTTCTGAAGGCGAGCTCTCTTGTGGCTCTTTCTTGTTGGTGTTTGTTTCAAAATAATCTTGGGTGAAGCTATTTAAGAACTTATTTCAGCTTCCACCTGGATGTTGAGCAACATCTCGTGGCTTGAGGCTGTTCTGAGCTCTTTCTCCCCAGAACCCCCTTTATTCTCACCAAGTCACCCCTCTCCCCCCAGCCTGTGCTTTCCTGCAAATCCTCACGGCTCTCACAAGAGGCCGTGGAGATATTGTAAACCTGCCTGTGCCCCATCAGGGCCACACAGGTGTCCTCGGTGTCCTCTATTGAGGGACGGGGTTGGCTTCCTAGAATTTCACTATGGCAGCACTACTGGAGTGTGGGTGGGATGACTTTTGCCCCGTAGGACACCCTGGGTCCTGCCTACCAAATGATAGGAGCATCCCTAGGCTTTGTGACAACCAGAAAAGATCAAATGCCCATACATTTTCATGTGCCCCCAGTGCTGTGTGTCACCCCACTGAGAATCGTGTTAGCCTCCAAAGCCACGACAACCCATCAGTTTGTTTTTTGACTCTCATCCAGAACTACTTTCCATCCCATGTCCTTCTGTGGACTCCAAAGGGCAAGGTCAGGGCTGTGTGGCCGGAGGCGGGAAAGCTGAGTGGTTTCAGGAATGGGTGCAAGAGTGACGTGCGCCAGGCCGGGGCTGCAGCTCTCATTCTCGCCACACCCAGGTCCTCACCACTTCAGACTTCTCAGTCATCGCCTCTAAAATGGGTGACAATAACAGCACCCCTCCAGGGTTGTTTAGCGCCAAGTCCAATGCCAAGTCTGCAGGAAGCATGAGGGAAGCATTGGTGGGGAAGAATGTGGGTGAGGTCTCCCTTTGTCTGAATTCTTCATCCACCAGATTTTTCCTTCACAACACTCAGTGCCAAGTAGTTGAATTCACACTCTGCACACTTATTTGTTTGTTGGCCCCTCCCTTCCCCATTAAAGTACAGCTTCCACAAGGGCAGCGAGAGGACCAGGTTCCCCTTGGTCATCCTCAGGTCCCAGGGCATGGTACACAGTAGGCACTCAGTAGACAGTTGTCAAATAGTTAAAGATATATAATCCCCTCCTTGTCTTTGTTGCCCAGAGCCCACTGCCCTTAATAGCAAAGGAATTCAGAAACCATCTTCCTGAACCTGTGAGAGAAGCCAGGATGGAAAACACCACCTCCCCCCAAAACTATGATGTGACCACAGAATATGACTATGGGGCTGCAACCCCATGCAAGAAAGATGACTTGAGAGCTTTTGGGGCTCAGCTGATGCCCCCATTGTACTCCCTGGTATTTGTCGTTGGCCTGGTCGGCAACATCCTGGTGGTCCTGGTCCTCATGCAATACAAGAGGCTCAAGAGCATGACCAGCATCTACCTTCTGAACTTGGCCTTCTCTGACCTGCTCTTCCTCTTCACGTTGCCCTTCTGGATTGACTACAGCCTGAAGGATAATTGGGTGTTCGGCAATGGCATGTGCAAGCTGCTGTCGGGGTTTTATTACGTAGGCCTGTACAGCGAGATCTTTTTCATCATCCTGCTGACCATCGACAGGTACCTGGCCATCGTCCACGCCGTGTTTGCGCTGCGGACCAGGACCGTCACTTTTGGTATCATCACCAGCAGCATCACCTGGGTCCTGGCCATCCTGGCTGCCATCCCGGGCTTTCACTTTGCTAAGACACAGCAGGAGTTCACTGGTTATACCTGTAGCCTTCACTTCCCTCAAGAACAACTACAACAGTGGAGACGGTTCCAGGCTCTGAAGCTGAACATCCTGGGGCTGATTTTGCCTCTGGCGGTCATGATCGTGTGCTACGCGGGGATTATCAACATCCTGCTCAAGCGGCCCAATGAGAAGAAGGCCAAGGCCGTCCGTCTGATTTTTGTCATCATGCTCATCTTCTTTCTCTTTTGGACGCCCTTCAATCTGAGTATGTTTTTTTTTGCTTTCCAAGATGTCATATTGTCCAATCAGTGCGTGCAGAGCAAACAGCTGGACGTGGCCGTACAGGTGACAGAGATGATTGCCTACACGCATTGCTGCATCAACCCCATCATCTACGTCTTTGTCGGCCAGAGGTTCCGCAAGTACCTGCGCCAGTTGTTCCACCGGCTCCTGGCCATGCCCGTGGTGAAATGGCTCCCTGCCTTCCGTACTGACAGGCTGGAGAGGGCCAGCTCCATGTCTCCCTCCACGGGGGAGCACGAACTCTCTAATGGGTTCTGACTTAGGCCCTGGCAAGAGTGACCTGCCAGGCACACTGGCTGCAGAGGAGGCAGCTCAGAGTCTGACCACTGGTGCAGCGTGGACCAGATGCCCCTGCCCCCCGCCGGGGGTGAGGTCTAGACTAAATCACTTCTGGGACTTGAGTCTTCTCCGTAAACTTCTCCCTGGAGATGAGTGAGTGAACTGGGACATTCCAGAAGGTGGGACAAAGGGTGATGGTGAAGGTCTTGGGCCCCAAACAGGGTTGCAGATTTGTGAACATTAACACTTGCAACCAAAGCCACTGAGCAGCCCCCATCTTCTCCCCCACCACCAATGAACTTGGAAATAGTGATTTCAGCAGTTGACTTGGCCCACAGCTGGGAGCTAGCAGCTGCTGCTGCTCCCTGCCCCTGCATAATCCTCGATTGCAGGGTTTAGGCTCTTGGAAACCTTGAGGAATAAGGGACTCATGACCTTGAGACCTAGCAAGGAATAGGAATAGGGAACTGCTATTGGCAGCGGAATTTCCCTTAGAGAAAATTCTTCTATTCACCAAAAGCAAACCACTCAGGCAGTGGGTTAGACAAAGGCTGTGTGTATAATGTGTGGTACTTCTGGAAACAGCCTCAGAAGGAAGGGAATTGTTATTCCCGTGACCATTCCTTTCTTTCTGAATATTTTCACAATCTCCCATCCCTGGCAGTCAGGCGATGCAGCAGGAAATTCTGATGGCTTTATTGCAGAAGTTATCAAGGGGGCAGGGGAGACAGGGTTGATTTTCTTCCTCTGGTTCTCTGGTTCCACGGACCAGAGCCCTGGCTACCACCTTGCACCCATCCTCAGAAAACTGACCAGTGCACCAGCTGACAGCGTCTGCGGCTGGAACAGAGGAGAACGTGGACCAGGCAGGTGGGCTGGGGACTCTGCCTTGATGTAGGAGGTGGAGAAGGCTCTTCCCTCAAAGAAACGTATTTACCCTAAACGTCTCTAACACTTCATCTCCCAGCAAAGCCCTCCTATTTTTCATGTCTCTGTTCTCTTGTTCTTCAGACTTAGATTTCCTTAAAACTCAGTTTCCCAGGAGCAAAAACTATTTCTAAAAATGCTTAAAAACACTTAGGGAAAAAAACCCCAGACATCAAGACCACCCATAAGTCCTACTACCCCAAGGCAGCCACTGTATATTTTTGATGTGCTTTCTTTTGGCTTGTATCTTCTCTTTGTGCATGTTTATGACTGTAACCAAGATGGACTTCTGTACCCCCTACTCACTTCTGGACCCCCCTTCTGCCCTTGTTGATTTTAAGTAGTAGTATGTCTGATCCCTCTTCCAGGTCAATACATTATTTCAAAGCATTGTTTTTGGTGTCTGCACTGGATTCCACGGCAGGAACGCACTCGAATGTACTCGTTATGCCATTATTGCTCGCACAAATCAATTCAGTTGCACACGGCAACTGAGGACCTGCTCCCGTCAAGGCACACCCTGGGAGACACAGGTGCGGGACTGGGAAGGAGTGCTGGGAATGTTCTGGAAGAGTTCTCTGCTCAGTCAGGCGGACACATGCCAACAGAGCCCAGGTTGGTGGTGGGGGCGGGGGGCTGCTGTGGAGCCTGTAGTGCCAGGACAGCCAAGGGGGGAAGCACTGTGCTGGTCAGAAAGCACCTGATGGGGCTGGTGGTGTTGTCCCACCTAAGAACACCACCCCACCACCAGGCTGGCCTCTCTCTTTTTGGACATTAGTATGTTCTCGCCAAGCCTGCCCCCCACACAGGCTATTTTTGCATGTTGTCTTTGTGTGAAGAAGCTGGTATCATGAAGGTTTAGAAAACTTTTGTCCGGGGCGGGGGGAGGAGGTCGCTCTGCACTGGGCTTATGCCTCCACATAGAAAATGTGGGCAAACATAGGCTTTGGAAGTCAAGGTGAACGTCAGCTCTGCACTGGCAACCCGCCAGCCCCCTCTGTGGCGTGGAGAGGAGGCTTCATGGAACTAAAATCATCGGTCCATTACTTCAGTGCAATAAAACTGCACCAGAAACCAAAATCTGATCCCCAACAGTATCATTACAATCAGTGTTTCACAACATCCTGCAGTTCCACTTTTGAAATAGTGCTTTTTTTTTCTTGTTACAAAAGCAGTGCATGTGCCTTGTAGAAAACTGGAAACAGGTGAAAAGCCATAGAAGTAAACAGATGCGCCTGCACCCCCGCTCCTCAAAGCCAGCCTCTCTGAGGTTCGAACATTTCAGTGCGTCGTCTTCCAGCGCTGATTATTTAAAAATAAAAGCAAATAATTTTTTCCATGGATGTGTATTTTCCAACAGCTACACACAAAAACACTTGGGTTGTTTGGATCTAGCCACTTAATAAGGGGAACAGTCGGGTATTAGTTTGGCCTCAGGACACTGAGGAAAAAGCCCTGAGACGTGAAGGGCTCTGTGACCTGGAAGGTCTGGGCCCCCGTTTAGAAATGGCATTGTGTGCGACTGCGGGAGCCGGCCGGCGAGTGTGCGCCACCTGCCGCCTGGCCTCTCACCGTGGGAGGAAAGTCTCAACATGTCAGCCAGGCGCATGGGCAGCTTGGTGTGAATAACAGCAAGGGCAAACTGTAACCCTGTGGACAATTAGACCTCGTGAGGATGAAGTACGTGGACAGTGACCTGTGCAGAAGCTGCCCTTCCCCATGCTGATGCACGGGCACCTGGCCCAGGACTCAGGAGGTGCAGGGACCAGCAGCACCTGCAGTGGCTGCGGGTCCAGGTGCTGCCCAGCTCCAACAAGGGGAGCCAGTGGGTGGACAGCAGTGTGTGGAAGCCACCACAGGGCTTGGCCCAACAGTGTCGCTGCTTTTTTACAAATGATGCACTAATTGTCTCTCCTGGCGTACACTCACCTGGCCCTCCGCAGATAAGGGATTCTGAGAAATGTCAGTCCAGATGAACTAAACTGACACTGGACAAAGCCACCAGAAAGGGCGATGTTCTTTTTCATCTGTGTGCTCTTTTCAGGGCTAGCCATTGTTTGTAAACAAACACATCATAAGAAAAACTGCTCTTTGTGGGAAGAAAGAAAGAAGGGAAGGAGGAGGAAGGAAGGAAGGAAGGGAGGAAGGAAGGAAGGAAGGAAGGAAGGAGGGAGGGAGGGAGGGAGGGAGGGAGGGAAGGGAAAAGAGATTGGGAAAGTTGAGGAAAGACAGAGAAAAGATGAGGAGCGGTTTCTGAGAAGAACCAGGTGGGATGAGCGCGCATCCAGAATGAGGGGGGGTTGTCTTCTGAGAAGAACCAAATGTTGGGTAGGATTTCCACAGTGTGCACAGGGAGCCATGTGCGCGGGGGGTTGGGGAATGAGCTGGGAGATGGTCAACAGCAGGAGGCCACCAAAAAATCCTGACTCTGAGCTTTCTGTTCGGGAGGTGACCCAGCGAACCCTTGGAGCACAGGCTGTCTAAGGCCGGTGTTCAGGTGCCAGGAGCCCCTGGGTAGTGTCCGTCTTGAGTTTCACTTTTCATATTAACAGAAAGGGGCAGTGAAAACAAGGGCAGGTATGAAGACTTGAAAGAAAGGCCTGTTGGGTGGTGCTAATTGCTCAGACCCTCCTGCTGCCACACTGCTCAGGGTCCCCACTCCCCTGAACTTTCTGCTGCTCACTCTTCCTGGGCACCCCAGGCCTCTGCCTCTTTCTGCCTGGTAACAGTGTGGGTCCAACTGGGTGGATTGCTGCAGCGCTGCTAACGGGGATTTAATAACTAGCTATCTATGAAGACCCTCTGCCTCAGAGTAGCTCCCTTATTTTATTTATTTACTTCTCACAAAGTTTTCCTGAAAAAAAAAGTTTGGGTGCATTTTCTTTGAAAGAGTGTCACCTACTAGTGATTCGCTTGCTTTACTTTGATGATGAAGACACCTTCAGGGAAACTTACAGGTTGTGGCCATTCACACTTGACATCACCGGGTTGGGGCGGGGTGTCTGCTGGGACTACTGGGCCCTGCAGTGTTTGTGTAAGTCAGTACTTGGTTCCTAAGGAGAAAAGTAAAAAGGAGAAGTCATCCCCATAACCTCACTTTGAGTGTGTCTTTGCAAAATTGCAGAAGTTCAAGGTGCTTTGTACTTCTGTTTTCTCGAAACTCGGTTTTCTTCATTTTCACCAGGAAACATGGCTGGGAGTTGCTCCGAAAGTAAGTAGAAAGGCATGAGTGCCTGTGACCACAGAAAGGCTGCAAGGACGTCGTCCTCAGTCGTGCTCATTCTGAGAGAGGGCTAGACAGACACTTCCTGGAGGTCTGGCACTTATTTAAAGCAGTGAATAAAATAGACTGCTTCTTCCTGCTGTCTTGGACACCTTTTGTATATTGAAGGTAAAGGGGAAATAAACAAGAAGCAAACAAAATAGCAAAAAAAAAAAAAAAATCCAGGGGATTGTTTCAACAGATTCAGTAATGACGTGCTGCAGCCAGCTTGTCACGGTTCGCAAGAACCACTCTCTTCCCAACTCCGTAATCAGTCATATGGCACTGGTATCCTGAAACTGGATGTGGTTAGAGTATTTACACCAGGGAAATTGGCAATGCTACAGATCGGGGATAGGGTGTTTGGTTGGTTGGTTGGTTTTTGTTTTCTCTTGCTTGTTTTGAGAGACATTTGTGAAACACCAGGATCCCGCTGTTTGTCGTACACAAGGTCTGTCCAGAAAGTAGCCAGCCTTATAATATGAAAAATAGAGACATTTATTGAAGAAGATACAACAAACATTGTACATAGTACAATAACCCCTCAGTTCCCTTTAAAGTAGGCACCTTTGGACCTCACACAATTCCTCCAATTGCCACCAGCTTCTCTGTCACATTTGCCTGAATCTCATCTGCGGTCTGAAATCTCTTCCCTCTCAAAGGTGATTTTAGTTTTGGGAAAAGCCAGAAGTCACAGGGCATCAAATCTGCGCTGTAGAGGGACTGAGTCACCTGGGTAATTTGATGTTTTGCCAAAAAACTCTGCACTAGACGTGATGCATGAGCAGGCACATTGTTGTGATGAAGCTGCCAATCACCGGTTGCCCATAGCTGTGGCCTCTGAATCATATAAATAGTTTCCCTGGAGGAATGTTCATGCTTAATACAACATTTAATGCAGACTCATTGCTCTACTCGCTCAGTCATTTTGAATGTGATGGCCACAGAGTACACATGTTCACTCAATAGCATCTACTCCCATACCGACTAGTACAGTGAAGTCTTCCTTGTTCACGCATGCGCATTCCAGTCCACTCTCTTTGGCTGCCAGGTTACATCAATGTTGAGCAAACCATTCTTGTTATATTAACAATGGCTGGACTTTTTCTGGACACACCTCATATCCATGAAATAAAATATTAAGCTCTTATCCATATTAACATTGTAGAAGAATGTCTCATGATAAAATAGAATGTGTATGCAAAAGACCAATGTAGACCCTCACCTCACACTGCACACAAAGATTAATTCCATATAAATCCGACTTCTATAGATGTAAAAGCTGAAACAAACTTTTAGAAGAAGACAGAGAAGAAAACCTTCAGACTTTAGCTAAGCAAAGATTTGCCTGGTAAAATACCAAAAGCATGGTTCGTATATGAAAAAAAAAAAAGCTAAAATGGACCTGATCAAAATTCAAATGTGTTGTACTTCCAAAGACACCATAAAAAAAAAGAAAAGCCAGGAAATACAAGACCAGAAAAAATATTTGCAAAACACACATCTGATAAAAGACATGTAGCCAGAACGCAAGGGGCTTGTACAACCTAAATTAGTCACACACATGTAAGAGGAAGGATGGGGGAGATTTGGCTACAAAAGAAGAAAAGGCAATGCGACAACAAAAACAGAAATCGAAGTGATGGATTAGAAATCAGGATTACATCAACTGAGAGATACTGAAACAAGCAAAGAACAGATTGCTTCCCGGAGCCGCCAGGAAGGAGGGACCCAGCCGGCCAACACCTCCACTCCAGCCTCCACTTCAGCCTCAGACTTCTGGCCCCCACACTGCAAGAAAATAAATTTGCATTGTTTTCAGTCACTAACTGCATGTCATTGGTTACAGCAACAACAGGAAACTAAGATACCTTGGCCACGATTGCCACCCTTCCTGGAGTCAGTCTTCTGATCACCATTGTCACTTTACTCTTTTCCCGTGCAGACGCCTGGTCCCAAGATGTCCTCATGGCATCTATTATTTTGACTATTGGAAACTTTATTTCAAGGATTTCTTGATAACTGTTGAAGTGAATGTGGCAAGATGAGGTTCAAAGCTCATGACTTTCAGTTCCACATTTAACCCTTTTGGAGGATGAAAGACCCTGGAAGGTCATTTCAGTGAGGA